GACCCCCAGGACCCAGGAGGTACGGACGCGGGCCAAGGACACTTGGACCCGCCTCAGTTAGCCGCCAGGTTCTGCCGCCTGGCTTCCCGCGCCATTGCCTTATAAACAGCCCAGGCGGATTGGGTTGGCGTCTGTTCTTTCCTATCTATTCTGTGTTATCATCATTGGTTTTCAATTCAGGATCTACCACAACACCCCCTTTCTATCCCCACCTGCGGGTCTATGAGGCATGCCCAGTAGGGCTGTTTCTGCCCCAGCTGCTGTTGCGGGTGTTTCCCTGCTCTGAGGGAACATGGCTACAAGGCCGCCATCTGCTACCCGTCTTTCTGTGCTCCACACACATGGTATGCAGGGGGGCCGCAGGGGTCGTTTTCCCACCCCTGGATTGGCCAAGGGTCTGGGGTTACCAGCAGTACGCCCCCCCCAGGTCTCTCTTGTGGCCTGCAGGCATACATGCAGCCAGAACACTGCTTTAAGAAAGGGAATTAAAATTTAAAAATTGTTCAGTAATATAAAATTATTTAGAATAGGATTACCTTTTCGTTAGAGAGTTGCTTTATGTCCTCCAGTTCATTAGAGAGCCTTTCTATTTCTCTCTGTGCTTGGACTTCTTGGCGACGAGCCTCTACCAGGTCTGAATGAGAGTTCTGCACTTGCTCCTGGGTGAGCCTCAATTCTTGCCCCAAGTCAATGACCTCCTTATACTGGGTAGCAATGTATTCTTCCTGTTCTTTGATAACCTGAAAAGCATATATAGTTACAAAGGATATAACTACAACTTGCTTCTTTTTCTTCATAAGAGAATTTCCCTACAATTACATCTTTATAGACCTTATAATACATGAGAGCAGCTCCTACTGTAAGTTAATATTTTTAAAAGCCTTAATGATAGTAAAATGACAAAACTGTAATAAACTTGGAACTTTTTTCAGTCTAGGGATTAAACCTAGAGCCTCAACATGCTAAGCAAGTACTCTGCCACCAACACATTCCCAGCCCCTCTTACTTATCAATTTGATTGATTGATTGACTAATTGTTTTGGGCTTTTAGAGGCAAAGTTTCTTTGAGTAACAGCCCTGGCTGTCCTGAAACTCACTCTGTAGACCACGCTGGCCTCTAACTCACAGAGATTCACCTGCCTCTGCCTCCCAAGTGCTGGGATTAAAAGTGTTTAATGCTACTGCCAGGTCAGACCCTTTTTTAAAACTGCATTTTGAGGTTTCTCAAAACCAGTCTCAAATTTGTGGTCTCTCTGTTTCGGCATTCTGAGTAGCTACAATAAAAGTACTTCAACAGCAACAATTTTTTTTTAACTTATCTTAGTTGGGGGCTTGCTATCTTGCTCAGGCTGGCCTAGAAAGACACTGAGTAGTCTGGGCTAACCATCAACTTGAGATCCTTCTTCCTGAACCTCTAGGGTGCTGAGATTTGAGATATATGCCACCACTCTCCCTGAAATATTCTGCATGACTTTAAGTACACAATGTATATAAACCTTTATCATAATGCATGTAAAATTTAAAAAACAGTATCAAATACCAGGCCAGAAACAAACAACCCCCTAACATTTGATTATCCAAACTAATTGGGCTATACAGTGAGACCCTGTCTCAAAAAACAAGGTGAGAGGAGGGGAGTTTGCAGCTCCTATGGTAGAGCTTGACTGACATTCCCAAAAATCTGGTCTTCACCTCAGTACTACATAAAACCAACTATGGTAGCACTCAATGTAATCCCAGGACTTGTGGGAGGAGGAGACTGGAAGAGTTTAAAGTCATCTTCTACTACACAGGGAGTTCAAAACTCGTCTGAGCTACATAAGACCCTTTTTCTCAAAAAAAAAAAAAAAAAAAAAAAAAAAAAAAAAAAAAAAAAAAAGGAAAAAAAAAAAGAAAAGGAAAAAAAGTAAATAGTTCCTGAGAAATGACCTCTTGAGGAGTAACACCCAAGATTGTCTTCAGGCCTACACAAATGAGTGCATACTCCTAAAATAAATAAACGTTGGCATGGAATATAGAATTAAAATTCACAGTCTACATAGCTGGGCTGTGGATTCTTATGAAGGTGAAACTTGTCACTGAAGCGATTATTCCCTCTGAAATGTTATTAAACTAGTCATTTAAATTCCTATTAGATGACCAGTTAAGTATTTCTAATCTGGAAACCCAAAATCTGAAATACTCCCCATGCTTCCACAAAAACTTTGTGAGTATTAATTTGGCAGGGAGAAAAATTCCACACTATAAAATAATTTGGTAAACAAACTTACTAAATTATCTTCAGATGAGATGAACATGGTAAATATGAAACATAAATGCATTCAGATTTCAGTAATTTTGAATATATAAATACTCAGAAATCTAAAGAAACTCAAACTACAAAACAAGTCTAACTAAAAATCTTTTGGAAAAAGGTAGCAAAGTCAGTTCTAATTCATCACAATGAGGCAGGTTAGACACATGGCTTCAAGGAAGAAAAGGAAAAAGCCAGTACTAATTACTAGGGCCCTGGTATCTGGCATAGAGGCCCAAGATATAAATGAATATAATTAACTATGCAAATAATTTTAGTCATTCACTGTTAGGGAACCAACATAGCAGGGCCATTAATCATTTACACCTTGCTGTTGTCCAACGGCATTGTTTGCTTAGAGGCTCTGCTTCACTTACGTTTATAATTAACTCAATAACTTATGTTTAACATATGATAATATACAGCTCTGGATAGTCAGGAAACAGGAATGAAAAGGGAGACAAAGTGCCTTCCCCGACACTTGTTTATGTTCTATAGGTAGAGACATAAGCAACCAAACACAATAGTTATTGCTGAAATTACAAAATTTTGACAATGAGAAAGTTATGCCCATTAGAGCTCACAGAAACAAATTCAAATTTTTAAAAAGACAGGGTGTTGAATAGATTCAACCACCAATACATATGAAACTGATACCAAGTTATCAAGTAACTATGTTCCTCTGGTACCATAGTGCACTTGGCTGAAATAATAGTCAGTTATCATTTGTCAGTTTCTGGGTGAAGTTCCTCACCCAGAACTTGTTATCTATACTTTCAATCTATTACAGAGTATATTTACATATTGAATATTTATTGATAAAAACATATACTGTGGCTTCACTATGTAAAATATAACATGGCAAAGATAGGGAATACAAGGTACATAAGACAGTGCCTTAACTGGGCGGTGGTGGCTCACGCCTTTGATCCCAGCACTGGGGAGGCAGAGGCAGGTGGATCTCTGTGAGTTCAAGACCAGCCTGGTCTACAATAGCTAGTTCTAGGACAGCCTCCAAAGCTACACAAGGAAACCCTGTCTTGAAGAGAAAAAAAAAAAAAGAGTGCCTTGGTCTATACCAAAGCCAGCATAATAAAATATTTTGGAAGGTCAAAAGAAGTAATAGCATCTGGCACAAATTATTAGTTTTTAAAAACTTGGAGCACAGTTTCTGTATTTTAAAACTAAGGCACTAATAAATAGAGCCAGGGCAGTTAAAGCATGTTCGTTTCATTACTTTCCCCTATTCTGAAAGTAATTTGCTCACACTTTCCATTTCTTTCATCCTTTGGTGTGTTCTTTCAGTTTCCTTTTTCAGTTGACTTATCTCCTGTTCATGCTGAAGCATTATAAACTCCTTTTCTCGAAGCTGTTCTTTGGCATTTTGCAACTTTTCATTTAAATTTTCTACCTAAATTTCAAACAGAGGGTCATTATTAACACAACTAAGAAAATATAATTTACTCATATCTGTGTTCTGAGTCAAATTTCAACCACTTATGTATAAAATATCTAAAAGTAGGCAGAACATGGAGGTCTATACTGCAAGTCAGCATTTTGGAAGTTGAGGCAGGAATGTAATGAGTTCAAAACCAGACTAGACTACACAGCAAAGACCCTGTCACAAAAATAACAGCAACAAAAATCTAAAATCAAATTTTAAAAATTATTTTTCTGGGGCTAAAGAGATGGCACAGGGGTTAAGAGCACTCACTGCTTTTTCAGAGGACCTGGGTTCAGTTCCCAGCACCCACATGGCAACTCATACCCATCTGCAATTCCAGTTCTAAGGAATCTAGTGCCCTCTTCTGGGGGCACTGAATGTACCTGATGCACAAACATACAGGCAGACAAAACACCCACTCACATAAAATAAAACTAAATGTCTAAAATGTATTTTAATCCCAACACTTGGGAGACAGACACAGGCAGATAGATCTCTGTGAGTTCAAGGCCAGCCTGGTCTACAGAGCAAGTTCCAGGACAGCCAGGACTGTTACACAGAGAAACCCTTCCTTGAAAATCCAATTTAAAAAAAAAAAAAAAAAGGAAAGAAAAATTTGAGTAAAAGAAATAATGAATAAAATAAAGAAAGGGGACAGGGAGAGGGGGGAAAGAAAGAAGCTATCTTAAAAAGAAAAAACGAAAAATATTAGAGACATGGAATGAGAAAAGCAAGAGATAAAAATTCTGATAATGCAGAAAAATGTGTGAACAAAATTAGAGGATAAATGTAAAAACCATATATTGTTTTATAACTAAATAAACAATGTTAAAAGTATAATAAAATAAGGGAAAACAATGATGCAAAAAAGGGAGGTGTAGAAAAGTATTTAATAAAATGACAAAGCATTGGAGTAGTTTCTTTCTGGGTTCTCTCATATTGAAGTCTACCAGACAAGGTTAAGTGCTCAGCTGAAGTTTGAATCTCTTTTCTTTTGTACTATTCAAGCAGATGTTTGGGACTGGTGAAGAGTCAGTTGTACAAGGCTGCATTTACTCTAGGGATTGCCCTTTTCTTTCTTTCTTTTTTTTTTCAATACCAAAAGTCACTTCTGGCTGCACTTAGTTTTGTAGCTTATAAACCAGGCAGGTTCACAAACTCCAAAGACATCCCTGTTTGTAGTCCCTGGAGTTGCTACTAATTCTCCTGAGTCCATTTGGCTAATCTAAGTTTCAAACACTGTTCAACATTAACTGCCCCAGAGGAGGAAGGATCCTCTGAAAAATGAGAGCTTTCACTGGACCTGAATTTCAGCTTACAGTTCTGCTAGTGGAAACCACACGTAAGAAAGGCATCCCTGGATGACTACAGGCTGGGAGTTATCACTCTTCAGTTACCCGAGATGTTGGAGTCTGCTCCCCACCAGAGAGCAGGACAAAAGTACTATGCCCATAGTCTAAGCCTCCCCCCACATAACTGAGTTCTCAGCATGTCCATGTCTTATCCTGTTTATTCTGTCTGAACACAGCTGCTTCCCACCCACAGACTGTGGCCACAAGGTTCCCTGGCTTGGTGGTGGTCACTGTGTGCAGGTCACCAGAACAGCGCAGTTTCAAATAATCGTCCTCCTCTGGCACCTAGCATACTGCCAGCCCCTGTTTCTTTCCCAGAGATGACTTGTCACACTTGAGGAGTCACACACTCTAACTTCATTTGAGGCTCATGAGAAAAGTGAGCTTGTCCTATGGCTGTAAACACCATCTTCTCCCCCACCATTCACTTTTATATTAGCATTCCTTGGCTTAGTCTATGAATGAATCTGATACCTCTTCCCATGGGCAAATGTTTCAATCACTATTTATACAAGTGCACTAAACAAATGTAACACAGCTTTATAATTTTAAATATAATATATATGTAAGATAAAAAATATAGAGAACACAAAGTTTCCTTCCCACACAATTTTTTCAATTAATTCTAGAATTACTCGTCCCTCCTCCCAGAAATATTTTACAGCTATTCAAGCATGTACATATTGTGGTAAGTATATAGACACATTGATATAAGCAATTACAACCAAAATAACATTGAAGAGAAAATAAATATTAAGTAGAATGTACAAGATTAATAAAAGTATGCAATCTTTCTACCATGTGCATGCTATAAAGACACCCCAAGCTATGTCCAGTGGCATTTGTGGGATCCCTGGGCATTGGAATTCAAGGCCAATCTAGGCAGCACAATAATAATAACAAACAACAAAAACATTTTATGAATGGTATACACACTAACGGTATTGATTTTTAAACAATTTAAATTATGAAATTTAAAAATAATTACCTGTTTGTTGCTTTCTTTAAGTTCTAATTCTGATTTCTCCAGAGTACCCTCTAATTTAATTATTTTTTGCTCCATTTCTCCTCTGTGCTCACGAATAGTCATATCCAAATGTGTAACCTAAATACAAGTAATATCAAGGTGGTTGCTCAATTTTATTGTAATGCAAACATTTTTGTGGTTGCAATGTACTTTTACAACAGGTACTTTTACCAACAAATGATAAGCTTATTCCAAATAAAGTAGGGACTTGAATCCTGTATGTATTATATGTTATAGAAACTTAAAATGTAAAATAAGAGAAAATGATGCCAGTTTCAGTTTATATTGGAATAAAAACAGTTAAATAATGCCTTGTTCCTCCAACATTTAGCTCACAGTAACATGTTCAACCACATGTTCTTTGATACACAATAAAAAAAGATCTAGGGGCTGGGGGGATGACTCAGAGGTTAAGAGCACTGACTGCTCTTCCAGAGGTTCTGAGTTCAATTCCCAGCAACCACATCGCGGCTCACAACCATCCATTATGAGATCTGGTGCCGTCTTCTAGTGTGCAGGTATACATGGAAGCAGAATGTTGTATACATAATAAATAAAAATCTTAAAAAAAAAGATCTAAAGGGTATCAAGAGAACTCTTATGCTCAAAAATACTGGTCAGGCTGAGTTGTGGTTTAGTGGTAAAGAAATCACCTCCCTATTCAGTTCCCAGGGAGACAAACAAGTCTTCCAGTTAGCATTTGAGAAAGGGAGGCAAAAGGATTATAAACTCTTGGCCAACCTGGCCAAACAGCAAGTTTGTCTAAAAACATAATTTAGATTTATTTCTAATTTTAAAAATTTATAACCAGAAAAAAAAAACAGTGACTTCTAAAACCTTCAAAATTGCCCCATGGTAGAAATATTTACTCAAATGTTAGTAGGAAAAAACAACCTGAGCTGCTCTTTGCTTTAGCTCCCAATTTCTCTCCTTCAGTGCCTGATCCATTTCAACCAGTTCTTGTTTTTTGTCTTCAATCTCCATCTTACATTCTCTAAAATTTGTCAAAAGAAAAGGATCAAAACAGATAATGTGACTACTATAATTTTTAAAAGTAGGTAAATTGATTTATTGTTTCCCATTAATTAAAAGCAACAGAATGTTTGTGGTTAATTCAGATTGAAAGAACATAAATCAAAAGAATAATGCATAAAAAAATGACTGAAAAAAAATGACTGAAAACAAAAGTTAACTCACACAGAGATGGGTTCGCTGGAATAATTTGGCTAGTTCACTAGCTAATTATGATGAGGTCTTATCTTAATATATAAGGTGCAGAGGAACTGAGGAAGACACACGACATCACTCTGACACATCCACATCTGCATCCACACATACCATGTGCTCCCAGATATAGGAATATGCACACATACCCATCAGGCTCACGCGCACTCACACCAAATCAGAGCAAAAGTAGTATTAAATGAGGCCAGGAAAATAGGAACCTGATCATAAAAGGCTTTATATACTAGAGGCCTGGAGCTTTTGAAAACCGTGGTTTTCATGCACAAAAAAACCGTGGTAAAAACATGTACAAAATATCCTATTAGCCATTTTAAAGTGCACAATTCAACTGAACTAACTACGCTCACAATGTTATGCAGTCATGACCATTATCTATTTGCAGTGCTTTTTTTTTTATTACAACAAAAGAAATTCTCACCTCTTTCAGGGATCTTTTTTTTCTGTTATCCCTTCCTCTGCCAACCACCAATCTTTACTATCTTTATGGACTTACCACCTTCATATAAACAATTATACTACATGTGTCTAGCTTCCCTGACTTAGCACAATGTTCTTAGGGTTCACCTACTTTATAGCATGGGTTATCACTATTTTATTGCTTTTTCTGATAAAATAATACTCTTATGAGTATGCCATATTTTCTTTATCCATTCATCATTGGTGGCCACTTGGTTTCTTGCCACTTTTTTGGCTATTGTGAACATAGATGCTATGAACATTTGTGTATACTTTTTGTTAAAATAACTATTTTCAGTGCTTTTAGGAAATTATTATGCTAAATGATAATATTTTCCCACAGTGGCTATCACTACTTTTGTTTCCTACCAGCAATGTATGAGAATTTCATTTCTCTACATACTTCCCAATACTTGATATTTTCTGGGTTTTTTAAGGACTGATTTACTGAATAATGAAGTGTGTCTCTATACTTAAATTTTTCATTTCCAAAGGAATTAAGATTTTACCGAGAATGTTTTAGAAAGCTATTAGAAGTCTAAATAGAAATCAATATGATTTATGTTTGAAGTCAGAAACATAATAAATCCTGTGGAAAATGGATTAGCAATGAAACCAAAAACATAAGGAACCCATTACTAAGAACCAACCATTCACCATTAAAAGAAACAATGATAGACTGTGAATAGTGATAACAGAAGTCAATGGATTTTAAAATATGTTTTAGAAATAAGGTGGACAAGGTGCTGGAGAGATGGCTCAGAGGTTAAGAGCACTGACTGCTCTTCCAGAGGTCCTGAGTTCAATTCCCAGCAACCACATGGTGGCTCACAACCATCCGTTATGAGATCTGGTACCCTCCTCTGGTGTGCAGATATACATGGAAGCAGAATGTTGTATACATAATAAATAAATAAAATTTAAAAAAAAGAAATAAGGTGGACAAAACCGCCTAATATAAAAGACTGACTAGTATAAAAGAGAGGAGGATAATTCTACAGACTTCTGGTTCCAGCAATTATATCAGAAAGACAGGAGGGGCAGAGTTCTAAGAAAATATATGAATGTCTTTGGCTGAGTTTGAGATGCCTCTTAAAATATCCACTATGGAGGGTTGGCAAGATAGTTCAACAGGTAATGCACTTGCTGCCAAGCCTGGCAACCTGAGTTTAATCCCTGAGACCAATATGGTAGAAAAACTGATTGTCACAATTTGTCCTTTAACTTCCATGTGTGCATCATGATACATGTCACACATCCACCCATGTGCACACAAAATAAATGAATAAAAATTTAGTAAGATCCAGCTTAGCTTTTCCTTGCAGATCTGCTCAGCCTTCCCTCCCTTCCAGCCTACCTCCATTCCTTTTGGTCAGCCACTGATAACCTAGAAACCCCCTCTGCCAGGGATCAATGGTGTCCATTTCTGGTAGGGACTGAAGTAGGAAGCACTCACTATCTTTCCTGTTCTCTATTACAATCTCTCCATTGTCACCCTCAACTCTGTAGCAGCCTGCTCACCCCTCCTGCCATCCAAACACAAATCCACACACCTGTGGACACCTGATTTTTTATAAAGAAGCCAGAAATACACACTGAAAAAAAGACAGCATCTTCAACAAAGGATGGTGGTAGACTGACTAGATGGCTGTGTGTAGAAGAATGCAAATAGATCCATATTTATCACCCCATACAAAATTCAACACCAAATGAATCAAAAACTTCAACATAAGACCAGATACCCTGAATCTGACAGAAGAGAACATGGGGAATAGGCTTGAACTCATTGGCACAAGAAAAGATTTTATGATGAAACTGATCAAAGAATGAGTGCAAAAGTACTAGCAGTTAAAAGCAACTTCTCTCACTTGCATAGATGGATCATAAGATGAAAAACCACAAAAAAAAACCCCAAAATCCAAAACAGAATGAAACAGTTGAGAAGTTGGACCATTTAGAATTCAGTAACAATTTTTGTGGTATGGTACAATGACTCAAAATAATCAAAGAGATGCCTGTAATTATGGTATCATTTCTTACTAGTTAACTCACCTAAGTTCAGCGGTGAGATCCTTTATTGTAGTGTATTTCTCCTCTAATGATAACTGAGCCTTCTGTAGCACATCTCTCAATTCCTGTAGTTGTCTTAAGGTACTTTTCAATTCTCCATGAGCATTCTGTAGCTCGTTTTCTAGTGCTTCCCGTTTCTGCATGGTTTCTGTCAGTTCAGCTTCAGTGTGGTGCTGCAACCTTTCTAACTCCTTCACTATTAAGAAAATAGAATAATTTAAGAACTACATGTAAACCATTTTTATTAAGAACTTTATTCATAAGCATAACTAAGAATATTCATCAGGGCCTGAGTTTAGATGCCAAACACTCATACAAAAGACTGTATTTTTAACCTGTTTAAGTGCTGGTGAGACAGACAACTGGAGCTCATTGGCCAGTTAGCCTTGCCAATCAGAGTCCCTGTCTTAAAAAATAAGATGGACAGCAATCAAGGAAGATAATTTCAAACCCTGGCCTCTACATGCACATACCCAAAAGTGCACACTTTCACATGTACATAAAACACACACGCAACAATATATAATCTGAGAGCTGGAATCTACAACTCTCATTATAGAGTGCTTGCTCAGAATACACAAAGTCCTGGATTTATTTCCTAGCACTACATACATAGACAGGGCATGTTGGTCCCTGTCTATAATCTTAGCACTAGAAAGGTGGAAGCAGGAGGATCGGAAGTTCACGGTCTTCCTCCACTATATAAGAAGTTCTGGTGCAGCCTAGGATACATGGAATTCTATCCAAAAATTAAAAAAAAAAGTCTGATAGAACTTTCATTCATCTCTAAGAGACAAAATACTGAACACTATCCCTTTTAGCATCCCCACCCCAACTGCTCACTTTATTCCACTTAAATATAATGTCTTAGTCACTCTTCTATTTTTGTGAAGAGACACCATGACCAAAGCAAAAGTTAGGAAAGAAAATATCAATTGGGGGCTTGCTTACAGTTTTAGAAATTTAGTTCATTATCATCATGGTGGGGAACATGGTGGCATTCAAGCAAACAATGGAGCAGTACCCCAACACTAGTACCCTCCTTCCTCCAACAAGGCCACACCTCCTAATCTTTCTCAATACTGCCACTCACTAATGACTAAGCATCATTCAAATATATGAGCCTAGAGAGATCATGCCTATTCAAATCACCACACAAAAATACACAGGTATTTGTAGTCCAGTTAAATTTAGCTAACTAGTTGCTTACCTGTATTTGTTTTCTTTTCTAGTTCTGTCTTTGTCTGATCTAAAATCATATCTAACTGAGAGAGATGTATGGATTTATTTTCCACATCTCGTTTCAGATGTATTATTTCTTTTTCCATTTTAGACAGCTCTTCTTTGTACTGATCCAGCTCAAGTTTGGCTTGCCTATTTAAAAAGAAACAATAGAACAGGTAATTTGGAAGCTTTAAACTAAAAGGCTTGTCTCTAACTTTAAGTCTGCAAATTTTATTAGGTTAAATATTAGCAAATCTCTACTCAGAATCTTAAGTCACCTATTATACTTTTAAAAAACTTCTCCAACAAAAGTATTATTATTCTTTACACCGGCAAACCACTGAAAACCAAGGCCAGCATTCTTTTCAATCTAACTAGATACAATTTTACATAGTTTCATATATATTGAGAACACTCAGGGATAAGCACGTGATATTTTTATTATGTGAAATAACAAAGAGGCTAAGTAATCAAATTACCATAAAGACCACATTACTCTTATGGAGGTATTAATTTTTATGTAAGGCCTATTACTAGGATATGTCTTTTAGTTTTAAAAGTGACTAGAGATTCCTAGATTGAACAGCTTTCTCTGCTACACACATGAAGGAACTAAAACACTAAGAGGTAACACAAGCAGACAATAACAGTAAAACTGAATGGACCAGGTTCTCTAACTTTCATTCAGTCCAGAACTCATTCCAACACATATTCACCGAAGTATTGAATCTTTAAAACAGCATACAAAAATAGATGTCTCTATAGATGATAGGCAGGTAGGTGTGTGGGTTGGTGGGTAGGTGTGTGGGTGGGGGGTAGGTGTGTGGGTGGGTGGTAGGTATGTGGGTGGGTGGGTAGGTAAGTTGTAGGGGAAATGCTGTCCATGCCTACTTGGAGGCTGGCACAGGTGACCACACACACTTGGGCATGGTCAGAGTGACACAGCAAGTGGGTAGGTAGTTGGGTGGGTGGGTGGTTAGTAGTTGGATGGGTGGGTAGGTAGTTTGGTGGGTAGGTAGGTGGTTGGTTAGGTAGGTGGGTGGGTAGGTAGGTAGGTGGGTTAGGCAGGTAAGTGAGTAGGTGGGTGGGTAGGCGGATAGGTGGGTGGATAGGTAGTTAGGTGGGCCTTTGTGCATGGGAAGCCAGCACTCTACCACTAAGTTGTGTGCCTAGCATACTGACACTTTTACATCTCTAAAATTCAAGGTAAACAATTTTCGACTTAAAATTGTTCCTACGAAGAGAACTGATATAAAGTGAATAATTAGAAGAGAATAATCAAGAGGCTGACATACAGTGATAAAATCTGGATAACAAAAATAGTGTAGAAATTTTGTAAAAAAAACATTAAAAACTCAAAAAACTTAGTACTCTATAGTCATTTAGTAAATAACAATCACAGCTCTATATGCCTCAAGGGTTAGTGAGGATAGCAATATATTTTAGCATGGTATAAAGTAATATACACAATAATTATTCAGAGGTGGTAAAAAGGCCAAGAGAATATATAGTTTAGAAACTGTCCACTAAAAATATTCTTTGTTTTCTTCTAGTCTTAGTATTGACTAGAAATAAACTCTACCTTTATTTCACTTCTAAGCAATTACTCCTTCTTGATAAAACTGAGTAAACAGAGCATTAACACACATTTAAGTGCTTAAAATATTAACATCATCATCAGTAATACTCAAATTTTAACTATAGCCTTAAAAAGTTTTATGGCAGATTTTAAACCCATCTATGTTTTAGAAATCTTCTCTTTGTTGTTTCAAGGTTATTGAAAGCAATCAAGATTGAGATGAGGAATAGGACCAAAGGAATTATTATGCTAAATACTAGACTCTAGAAACTTGATGGTTATATAAGTGAAGAATAAAAACCAAAACCTTTTTGGTTTCAGAGCATGTATAAACTGTGTACTTTATGTAGCCTAGTTTCTTTGAGTTTCATCATCCTTATTTTAAAAACTATAACATATACATGCCATAGGTTTAAGATTAAATGAGTTAATGTGTCTATCTAGAACAAAGAAGGTAAATGCTCAATAAGTTGGTTTCTTTTCTATATGAAAAACACTTATCAAAAGCAAATTGAGCCAGGCGTTGGTGGCACACACCTTTAATCCCAGCACTCAGGAGGCAGAGGCAGGCGGATCTCTGTGAGTTCTCTCTGAAGAGATGAATGCAGCTTTCTTGTAAAGAGTAATCATTAAGCCTTGAGCTTCCTATCAGTGTTTAGGATTTAGCTTTCCTATTGAAGATGGCTATTGGTTTATATTCAAGAAGCTTTGGAGTGATTATTTGAAAGTCAAAAAAGTAGGAAACCTCCTGGGTCACAAAAAAGGCAGGAAAACAGATAAGGGCTAGTAGGGAATTGGAAGGGAACAAGAGAGAATAGAGGGTGACTATGACCAAAATACATTATGTACATGTATGAAAAATGTCATATCATTATGACATTTTACCCTTGTTATACATAATTCATACATGCAAATAAAACACTTTTAAAGTAGGGATTTAAAAAGGAAGAATCAAATGTTTCATTTGTTCCAGTGAAGGAGTAAGACACCCAGTTAGAGAAGCATCAAGGAGTTGGTAGAGTTTTAAAAGAAGAGGCAAAGATGTAAAACCAGTCTTGTATGAACTACTTAGCTTGTCAGACACTATTAGGGAAACACAAGATTTTAATTTAAGTAAAGCTGGTATACATAATTATATTTTTCTGTGGCTTCTTTAAAGATGATGGCATCAAGAAGTGTGACTTGGATTTTGTGTATATGCATTTTGTATGTGTGTACATAGAGATGCACATGAATGTATAAGCACATGCATGTGGAGGTCAGAGGTCAAAGTCAAATGTCTTCCCCAGTCTCTCTTCACCTTATTTGTTTGTTTGTTTTTTGAGATATGGTCTATCACTAAATCTGTAGGAGATTTTTACAGATTCAGCATTTCAGCTAGGTCCGGGATCCTCCTTTCTATGCCTCCTCAATGGTGCGATTATAGGAGCACGCTACCGTGCCTGGCTTTTCTCATGGGCGCTGGGAATATGAACTCAGGTCCTCCTGTGTATACAGAAAGCACTTTATCAACTGAGCCATCCCCCACCCCAAGCTGGATTTTAACTCTGTGATGTATAAGCCAAAGAGAAGGCTAATGAGGTGATTTTAATGACTAACTTGACTTTAAGGTCAATAAAGAAAGGAGAGTAGCAGGGCTGGAGAGATGGCTCAGAGGTTAAGAGCACTGACTGCTCTTCCAGAGGTCCTAAGTTCAATTCTCAGCAATCACATGGTTGCTCACAACCATCCGTTATGAGATCTGGTGCCCTCTTCTGGTATGCAGATATACATGGAAGCAGAATGTTGTATATATAATAAATAAATAAAATCTTTAAAAAAAAGAGTAGCAATATGAAGTTACATAGCTATAATATCAATTCTGGGGAAGCAGAGGAACAAAGCTTGTAACTTTGAAGATAACCCAAACTACATTTTGAGGCCTTGTTTCAAAAGCAAAACAAAGGAAAGCAAGCGAAGGTATCTGAGAATAACACAATAGTAAACAGTAGAAATGGTAAGCTTTAGGGTAAACTGTGGGCATGCCTGAAGCATGACAGAAATACAATAATCAGAGAAGAAAGGTTTTAAAAATCAAAAACTCAAGTCATAACATGAATCAGTTAAATGAATACTAACTAGAGTTGGTGTTGGAGAGAACAATAAATCAGGTGGCCTATAAGTGTCAGCAATACGGAATGATACTATCCAATGACATGAGTAAAGAGTACACCTTTGTGGTACAAGAACATAAGGGAAATGTTTGTTTTAGTTTAGAAGCCTGCAAGAGAACAGGTAATGACCCCAGGATAATGTGAGAGATTTATTATAGTAGGAGAAAAGAAAAGGCAGAGAAAATAGAGGATGTCCATGAATTCCAGAACGTACAACCGAAGTTTTCATAAGTT